TTGTACACACACAAACTACGGGTTTCAGCTACGTAATTACAGGTACAATAATTCATCGACGTACGCACACGCGAACACCGGCTTGTTTGAGTGTATACCCACGTACGAGTTTCGTTAATAACGGTTTGCACCTCTGCCGGTGCTAATTAACGTTTCCCACTCTACCGGCACCGCTAATTACGTGTTCTTGAAAAAATGTCCTTATTATCTTAAATACTGGCTTTCGGTGAAATCTGGATTTGTCGATCGAAAACCCTCGCGAATAAAACCTCCGCGATCCTGTCTTTACTTCTTGTCTCAGGAGCGGAGATCAATTTTCAACCGGAGAACCGGAATTTTGGGAATCGTCGAGGAACACGTCTCACGCCTGTTTTGTCCTTTCGATTCTACTCAGCCTCCCTCGATCTCGTTTCAGCTTTTCTGCACACTGTGCCCTTCTTTCTTTCACTTTCATCTGCTTGCCTGTAAATTTACCAATTTGTGATAAGCGTTTGGAATTATGAACTCGCTTTAGATACACAGAGAGGAGACTTATCGAGTTAAGGTCCTCTCGATAGCGGAACACCAAAGTTTCTTCTCCTTCGACTGATACCACTTCCGTGGAAAACGGATTTCCATTTAATCTCTGGCTATTCGCAATGCACGCAGCTGCCTCTGATCGTGTTGTATTCTGAACATGTGTATACGTATTATACAATGCTTTGTTTAAGATTTAGAGGGTTTACCTGGGATTGGAAAATGTACGACGGGCTCTTTAAAAGGAGATTTAGTTATTTAAGAAAAAAAGTTACAGTGTAGATACACGGTATAGAGTAATTATTTGCATTGAAGGATTTGAAATCCTTTGAAAAGTATGTCGGAGAGACGCTAATTGCATTTGAAGTATAATGTAGGTTGAGTGTATCGAGCTCGTTTTTTCATTTGTGAAGGTTCTTATTGAAATGAACATTGGCAATTAAAGTTTCTTTGCGTGGAAATACTTTCTTCTAGAAAAGTTTTTGCACAGCAATTAACGACGGTATTTTAATTACGGAAGGTCAATGCTTTCGTTATCTCAAATGAAACGACTGAAATATCAAGTACAATTGAAAATACTGATACAGATATAAAATAGAAGTAAAGAATGTAATACTTCCTTTCATTATTTTACCTAAATTTTGTATGGTACATACAATATCCTTTGAACTTTTTGTATTAGCACTTAAAAGAACCTTTTAAATTCCAAATGTACCTACTTTATTGTACACAAAATTACTTTATAATAATTCTATTACTCGTTCAGTACATTCGACAAATTTATATAGAAGATTGAGTTCAACAAAGCACGGCTTATATTGTTTTCAGTGAAAATTATTTTATGCATGTCGCCTATTAATATTCCTACCTTGACATTTTCGACTGGTGCTTTCAGCAGTTATCCCGTTCGCATGAACGCCTTAAATTATGTTCTCATGAATAAAGGATTTTAGTTTAATCGTTTCTGATTTATAGTTAACTTAAGGCCGCTTAGCAGCGTCCGGTTAAGAAGCAAAATTATAGTTGAATATTTAAATATCATCGTTCGAGTCACTGTTACAGTTCGAATAGAAGAAAGGTTTGCGAGTTTCGTATTTTTATAGATACTTTGTATAAACGAACGACTGTAAAAACGAAAACCAGAAAAGTGTGTGCCAACGTTCGATAAAGGACTAATTGCCGTTCGAGATAGCGATAGCAAAAGTTATGTAAATTTCTGTACAAGCACGTGACATTTCGATCATTTACGGAAACTTGTTAGGGAAGAACTTAATCTGACCAGTTGCAACGTACTAATTACTGACTACCACGCAGATAACCGTGAGCAAGCTATTAATCTTTCTTAATTACCCAACGTTAGATAAATCCAACTAATATATCAATACAAGATCAACGTTCAAAAATTCTCGCTTTTTCCAAAACGACAAAGTGCTCTATTTCCCAGTAAAAGTGTTCTAATTCCTCTGTTGTTGCCAATTTTCGCGATTTACATTCCACATTTAACTCTTTGGAGCATTATGAGATAAAAAGTGTCCCGCCTTTTTGATACTTAATACAGTGAAATGTTTTTCATCCAATCTTGAAACATTAAGATAACAAAACTAAGCTAACTTAAGTTATTTTCACAAGTTTCATGGTGAAACAACTTATGACCCATTTAATAATTAACTATCTAAGCATTGTTTTTCAAATTTCAGTCGTTTTATGTCATAATTCATAGTTTTTACGTAAAACACGCCTGCTTCGTTAGATTTTTTAAAAATAAAATTTCTCTGCATCTAGAGTCTTATTTCGCCTCAAGATCCTGTTCATCGAAGAGTTGAGTGTCTCGTTGGATTTGCGGTGAAAGATGAAGTACTTCAAGTAACACGAACGTTATGGTTTATGTAGTTCTCGTTCGATTTGGAAAAAAGCGAAAAAATGCAATACGATATCGTTACACTAATGCCCGCGACTCCTTAAGTACCTGACTTATGTGAAGTTTCTGAATAGCCCGAGGGTAGATTAGGGATTCGAATCGGTGGAATGTATATACCAAGGAGCAGTGCCACGGCGTGCTTTGTAAGGGGAACACGTGCACTACATGTTTAAGCTTTAAGTGACGTCCATAGTCCAAACATGTCGCCGACAAGTTAGAGCTCACACAACTCACCGCGACAGCATCCTTCTTTAACCTTTCGCCATTCGACTCGCTACGAAATCTAATAAACCATGTGAAAAAACGAGCGTCGTTTTCAATACGGCTTGAACATCAGCTGGATCGTTTTTTAGAAAAATATCCTGTTTGTTTAAACGAAGTAACAACATCTTAGGTACACTTCTGTAAAGTGTACTTTTATTGCTCAATTTGATGCTTTTTCTGAGAATATTCTGAATCTTAATTCTGAATTCTGAAATCAGTAGAACAAATTTAGATTAGATAATCAGTAACCATGAGTTCCCTAGATTAGTAATTTCGTATTGGATGGTATTTTTTAACAATATTTACTTCCTGTTGTATATCTTTATTTGCATCTTACTTAATAATTTGAGGAGCATTTAAATATACACATTCTTTTTTAAACTGAGGGATCCTTCGTACCTTATAACTTAAGAATTCTGTCAAATCCTGCTATTTTTTTATCCTACATTTTAACAAAAGTAAAGAAATAAACTTGTATCTACTTTTGGAATATAAACTCGTTGCTTTGCTATTACTAGAAAACAAAATTTTCATTAATGATATTTATCGTGAAAGAGTTAGATACTCAATATTATCTTGATCACATTTAGAAAAAATAATCATACATGCAACTGTAAATATCGAAAATATCGAATTGTCAGCACAATTTCATTATTCTGATATTACATAAAATGCACACATTTTTTCACATGACCCAATCGCAACACGAAAAAAGAGAAATGTAAGACCCAGGAGAGGGTGGCACAGTGTCAGTGACGGTGAAAAATTTGCCAATTAAAAAAATCTCATTTCTCCTGGTAACAAGGGGCGGCGTGCAATTAATGTCAGCAGCGAAAATGATTTATGGGGTGAGGAGGGGAGGATGTGGGTCGTAGGCGAGAGGCTAACTTATCATAAATTAATGAATTATCAGTACTCGGTGTAGGGAGCACGAGGGAGGAAGTAACACGTGCGCGCGCACTACGCCAATGAGGTATTTAAAATATTCATCGATGTACTCTCCAGTCTATCAGAAATTTTCTTTAAGCCAGAAAATCTTTCATCTATTCCATATAGAACTTTCACGCACATTAGTGATTTCCTTTAGAGTGAAACCATCGATTAAAAAATGACACTGAGAGATGTACACAAAACGCACTGGCTCTTGTTTGAACAAGACACTATCGGCTTCATCGCGCATGCTGTGGGCTAAAATCAATGAAAAATTCTGTCAGAAGCATGGAAACATGTGAATATCGGTCAACGTCTACAATTTACGATCAATCGATAAAACGTGATCGTTACTAATGACAAAAATATTACATAATCATGAACGAAATATGTAACCTGCAATAATGCGTATATTGTCAAAAAATACGTCGATATTTCTCGATTCACCTCGACACGTGTTCTTTAACCTCTACCACACTTCTGTCTCTGTTTCCTGTTCATGCTCCTCTTTCTCACATTGCTACGATCGCGTACTTCCTCGTTCTTGATCTTTATTCTTCCGCTATCTTTATCCCATTCTTTGATGGAGTCATGCGTTTCCTTCTCCAGCTGATATTTATTACGAATTGCACTGAAGTGAGATTCGAATAAAGGCCAGATGCAGATTAAGGCGCGACATTTTAAAAAGCGATATACGATCATAGATTTTTTGATCAGCATACACGCATTTTCTATTACAGAAATTAATGTCCTTGATCAAAAATATGGAACATCATTTGTTTAATGTTATACATTAATGTAAATTATAACTGTAGGTTTAGTATTGTAATTGTAGTATCTCAACATTTTCAAATGCATAGACATAAATTAGTAAGAAATAGAATATTAACACATGTGTCTAATGATAACCCATAGAAAACAAAAGGGTGAAATTGATGAACTGCCATTAAAATAATACGAAGTTGTACAGTTTTTAAAGATTTTTATAGATTTATTGGTAAATATTTATTTAATTCTGAGAATAGTTTCCTCCTGCGGTTTTATCGACATGTCTCCTACCATACATTAAACTCAAAACTTTTTAATGAAATACTTCATCATATAGCGTTCATTTATTAGCACAAATATAAATTTTATTAACATTGCCGTTTGCGTACAAACAGAAGTTTAACGTTCGACTTGATTATCGTATTTTTTCTGAAGGACGACTAAACGTAGCATATTCCTACATCGTCGACTGTGGCTGCTTACGGGAAACGTAAGTCACTAATCAACCTGTAGTCGTCGCCACCGTCGCCAACATGGCCACGTGCTAGACGTGTTTACGTGAACTGCGTCATCTTTCGCATTTTTCTTGCTCGTATCCCAAAGTGTTAGCCACGAGATTACGGTGCTGAGTATCGTCATGTCATGTGTGTGTGGTGACTGACAGTCATTAACGTGCTCCTCGTGGGCATGGCGGGTCTGAATGCGCCTGTTCCAAGGTGCACCTGCGACGTCAGGAGTCTGGCTACCTGTTCCGCTGTCAATCAGGATTCACCCACGAGTAGAGTTGTAAGAAGTTACAGACCACATGGAAGCCTCGCTAGGATACTTTACGACAAGCAAAAGGCAGACGAGCTTCTCGAGGCGTACGACAAGACCCAGGTAAACACACGTAACTAGGTTACATTTCTCGCTCAATCCTACATTTCTGTACCTAAATCGCGCGTACTCTGTTCTCCTCGTTGCCGCCTGAGGTCACGTCAGTGGTCTCAGGACCGTATATATGTAATGGTGTTTCGATATGTCAACATTACAAATTTTTTTTTCGTTTTCGTAATTAAGAAATACGTTAAATACAAAGTGAGAAGTGTTAGAAGAAATTATGTAAACGAAACTGTTTTCGATATGTACGTGTACACGTTATCACAGTACGTTATCGCTTCCTGTAATGAACTTGGCTCTCTATAAGCCCGAACCGATACAGGTTTGGACATGTTATATTGAAAGTCGAGATTTGTTGAGTGGGTCAAGATAAGATAGCTGAAATTCTAAATGTAGCTGATTTACCCATTACTTTTCCATCATTCGAGGATCACCAAACCATGTGGTGTCGACTTCAGTTACATTTAATTAAAATAACATCGGGTAGAAGTTGCTTTTTCGAGAATTAAGGACCTCTCGAAATGTAGTCTCCGTAAATTCCGAGAGTGGCGCACGGGCCAGCAGGGCAATTAGATTGCCGAGGGAGGAAGTTGTTACGGAGGAAGGGGGTAGAGA